TATTACTTAGCACAGACATCAAAAAGGCATTTGATACAACATATAGTGTTATTAAGCAATTACAAAATTGTTGGCTTACCATAAATATTATAGACTTAATTAATAATTTTTCAAAGTTACCATTAATGGACTCTACTCAAAGCAATATATACTTGAAAATGGAATATAAATGATTATAATTCTGACTCTAATAAAACAATTGAATGTAAGAATATAATATGGGAGGTACAAATAATATATATTAAAATCAATAATTAATATAACAACTAAATTTGGTTTGAACTTGATAGATTTTTCCTTTTGTATACTTGAGCTTTAGAAATTAAGCTAAAGGTTATTGATGACTACATTTACATTGAAACCTAAGATTTGTATGCCTTCTTAATATAAGTAAAACTGAGCATTAAAATTTTCATTTTTTATAACAATTAATAATTTACAAAGCTGTAAATCTCCAGTAGTTTATATTTATTTCTCTACAAGAAGCTTATAATTAATTGTACATTTAATTGACACAAATAAGTGATTAATTCATAACTTATTAGTGTATTACATTTTATGCATTTGTTCATTGGAAGATTTTATAAACAAAAATTGATCTAGAGTCGCAGGTTAAACGCATTGAAGTATTCCTATGCTAAAGAAAGTTCATACATCATATTGTTCATTTATATTTATACACCTTTTATATGTAAATGTATATAAAATTGACACAAATTAGTGGTACATTTTTAATTTTGATTTTGATGTATTACTTTCTTATGGTTTAATTTTTTAAAGTTAAGACAAAGTTGTGAATTGAGAGTATAAAGTATTCATGTGGTAAAACGAAGTAATTCATAATAATGCTCTCAAATATAGCCTTTACTGCTAATAGAGTACTGAGTTTTTGTTTATGTGTAATATGTAATTTATTCATATTGTTTTTATAGTTTAAAAAATATTCTAGTTTACAGCCCGAAGAAATATAAGTCTCGCGGCTTATTCAAAAACCACCAGAGGAATATCCGCATGGTGTTGACCCCTGGAACTTTAGTAATTTTGTTGACGGTTGTCCACAAAGGCGTTTGCAGTCTTGTTGAAAACACTCGACACTGGTTTATTTTTTGTCACTGAACCATTTATTTTAAATTCCATCACAATGAGGAGTGTACACCAACGTTATGTAATTGCCACCAAGATCAAGCTGGATATTTTGAGTGTTAAGATTCCTGAGGAGATTGACGATAAGTGCTTTGAGCGTACTAAAAAGCCCAAGATATTGTAGTTGAATTCTATACTGTTAAATTTCAATGTTTCTTAAATTTTTGAAATTTTTTTTGGCTTATCGGCCGAGTGAAAGAAAGAAGTCTCATCAGAAGATATTTGATGTACAGATATTAAAAACAATGACACAACATCAAGATAAGAAATCTCTGTTATTGTACCTGTCATCCATGTTTGGGTTTAGGAATAATCAATACCCACCCAGAATGCAATTTTGAATATACTACATGTATTTTTGAAAATCTTTTTTTTTACTTTCTATTAACCTGAACATTCCTTACTAAGATTTAAATATATCTTATTCTTAAAATGATAAATGCATGTATAATCTGTTATTAATATTTTGAATGTTTTTGTATTCAAGAGATTTAATTATTATTTATATTAAATCTTATATAATCAGGGTGGCATTGCCCATAAGGTAGCTACTGTAATAATGACTAATAAAATAAAGATGAGTGATAAAGACTTAAATATTATATTTATGCACTTCATATATTTTAAGAGTAATGATAATTCACACACAATAATTGCCTTTTATATCTAAGTGTGTTAATTGACCAATTTCTTTTCGTATGTCGCATACTCAGTATTCGATAAAAAGAAAACAATATAAACAATATTATGTAAATATATAAAATGTTATGGTAGTGTATAATTATACTGATAGGCTCATGTATAATTTCATTAAGAGCTAAACGAGATGTAAAAAAAAATATTTAACTATATAATTTGTTAATTTAATGTTGTATAGTTGCATTTTATTTTATTTTAATATAATTTTTGTCTACTCTATCATGACATAAAATACTACAGAAACTAAAAATTGAAATAAATTTGCAAATTTACCGTGATAGTGGGCTGATGGCTGTACTGTACTATATTACTATGGTGTTCAAACGTTAATGATTCTATTTCATTAATTTAGTTTCTGAATCAAACCTATCCCAAGTATAATTCATAACTCATGAAATGAATGGATGTACCTTTTCCTTTCAAGTATACTTTGCTATTCTTTATCGTTAATCTGTTTAAATAGGTTTCAATGATGTGCTTCGATTTCCTGCTGGTATAAACAGTTGCGTATTCTAGGAGTTATCAGTATGTGGCTTACGATTAATATACTAATACATGTTTAAGTACCTACTAACTTATATAGTTTGGATAAACCTAAACACGTTTAAATAATGTGTATCTATTATTTACCAATAGTACCTGTGTACTTAATATGTATGGTTTTAGAAGAGGATGATAAAAAAAAAATACGAAAATAATATGATAAAGGTGAGGTAAGTATTGTACAAACGGTTCATCTTCATACAACTATGAAAAAAAAAAATAAATAAAGGTAGGCAGGTACATATAAATTCACAGGCGCAATTTCAGTTTTTGACTTGGAAGGGCTTACTTAAATAAAAAAAGACTCGTGGGTAGCTCTGCTGCCCTGTTCAAATACTCAAAAATATATTACTTTATGTAGTATAATATAAGGACATTTTATTAAAGGTTTAAGTGGTTAAAAACCATTACACACACGTTATAAAAAATTCAAATTTAATAAGTTAATTTTTGATTTAAACTTAATTTGATATTGGAAGATACAAATAGTTGTGGTGAGAAGTGTTAAAACGCTCTTCAGTAAACATTTTGTATTATTTCTATTTTCTGGACGTGTGTAGTAGACTGTGATACCTATCTATGAAATTAATTTATGAAGTAGGTAGGTAGTGAAATTTCTATGAGACGAAATAATAATTAAATATTTTGTAGTCAATTTCATGATTACTTTTTTTTAAATTATAAAATTATTATTATTTTTGTGTAATATCATTATTCATCATTTTAATACTGATATATATTATAGTGTACAGCGTGTAACAGAAAGAGCTGACAAATACAAATAAAAAAAATCAATACAATACTTAAAAATACCACAAGAATATTATGAAATTCCTAAATTATATTCTTAGCTTATTATTATTATTAATTTGTGTTATTGTACGATGTCCGGATCAACTTATTGTAAAAACTTATTTATTTACTTGTACTATTGGGCAATTTTCCCGTTTTATTCATTGAATAAACAATTATTATTATTATTATTATTATTATTATTATTATTATTATTATAGTTCAAAAAAATATTGATACTTAAAAAAATTATATCTATTAACTACTTAACTTAAACAATTTTACCATCAACATTTTTTTAAACATTGGATTTCCAAATTGGCTTTTTTGATTTCTCCAACAAAAAAATGATACATTTTTAAATTTTTATTTTCAGTATTAAAAAAAAATATTTATATATAAACTGTATTCGTAAACCGTAATTTTTTTTTAAATTAACATAGGCTGCTATAAATATTAAAATATAAATATAGAATAAAAATGTTTAAATATTGATTGGGATAACAGTTATTTCATTTGTCATGTCATTCTATTACATCTTATATGACCCAATAAAGAAAATTGAAACACATTACATTACAACTTTACTTTATGACTTGTAAGCTGTAACAACTGAACAATATATTTTATAATAATAGTATGTTTTTAGTTCATGTTTGTGTTGTAATATAAATATAAAACAAAGATTATATACAGAAGCATAACAATAGTAACTAACTCAAGTAAGTTAAATCAAACATAATATTATTTAAATTTAATTGTAAATGATTATATTATGAAATGTAAAAATAAAAAAACAACATTTTTTTATTATTCAGTACTAACATTTTAATATTTGTCTATTAAGCATTAAAAATTAATTTATTGTCACAGTAAAATAAATAAATAGGGAGGGCAGGTACTAAGAAGTTATACATTGATAAATTGTAGTTTTCCAAACTACCTACCAATTTATTTACTGTTTTATGTAAATTAAGGGAATGTAAACACATTATTTGTTTTCTTTCACTCACCCATGGGCAACAAAGACAAAATGAATTTATGCAGAATCTTTTTGTATTATGTTTTTGAGTAATTTTAGATTAAAATCACCCATTACAAAAACAACAAAGAATATAATTATTTAGGATGTAACTTATCAATCTGTCAAAATATTATCTCAAAACAATGTAACCATCATTTAAATTTAAAAACCTTCATTTTTATTTTTAAAGTTTAATAATAATAAAATATAAAATCAATATGTCACACCCTCAAAAATATTATCCTCTTATTGTACCCTCAAACGCCATAAAAACGAGGTGAAAACATTTTTCCTTGCTAAACATTTTTTTAAACTATTTTCAAGTTTATCTAGTATCTACTAATATTCCATGCCAAGAGACAGTTGTTAAAAGAAATTAGGAAATTAAGGCAATACAAATAAACTGTTAATATTTTTTTTTTTTTTTGAAGTAAAAGTAACATCATTCTTGGAAAGAAAAGTAAAGTAATTTCCCATCATTTCTATTGGATTAACTAATACAGCAACTTATTTACTTTAACCTATAAGTAACGAGTAAATAGTAACTATTAATTTTTTAAAGTAATTCACCCAACACAGTTCATATGTTACATGAAAAACTATTATGATTTTTGTAAGACGTAAGATATCAAGAAAAAATGAATTGAACAGTAATAAATATTGTTAAAGTTATATATTAAAAGAATATTAACACCAAATAACATTCAAAATGAATATGGTTTTACAATGAAAACTTAAAATCTTAAAACTTTTTAACTAATATTTCTAGATTTGGATTAGTTTTTAATCTCTTTGTCGGGTGAATTGAATTTTAAAACTGATAGATGTAAAATTGGTGTTTGCATTGAATCAGGTGTATAACTTAAATTTCCACATCCATGTGTCGCAGTGATTGCAAGTTTGTACACAATCTTCTTTCATATTCAACGAAAAGATTATTTTGCAACAACGAATCACACAATATCTAAAAAATTAAAACAGACATTAAATATATATAGCAAATATCGGGAAGTCCGAAGTAATACATTGAATTGTAATACACAATAAATAATTTGGTATTGGGATGGCTAATCCGGGACTGGCGTCAGAGTTTGTATTATGCAGTAGTATAAAATTGTATTAAATAAGGTATAGAGCATACTCACAGTTAAAAATTACTACGCAAAGGGTTATATAAAATATAAATATAAATTAGTTAACTTATGATATGAACTTAATTTGATATTGGGGGGTACAAATAGAAAAAAAAATTATATTGTTTTAAATTAAAATCGCTACTTTAAACTTTTACATAACTTTTATTATAATGTGAGGCTCTCTCATGGAAGGCAAATCCTGGTTTACTGTTAGTACGTTTAAACTAAAATTACACACAGAGTATCTACACAATATAACCTACATATTATATTCAAAACACTTTTTACCTTCAAAATTACTGTCTCTGTTACAGAAAATAAGAAATTATTTTTCGATGACGCATATTATTGTTTTCACTGCATATACTTTTCTTATCTAATCACTATCAGATTTTCCTATACAACATAAAAGAAATTTAACATTAATGGTAGGCACTTAAAGTTTAGTTGCGATTGTTGCATATTTCCTTCCATCAAAAATAAATAAGCTGTAGAGAAAAGTAGAAAAAAACCAGAAAGCTCATCTTATCATTGTCATTGGGAACTGGTCGTTAATTTTTAACAGTGCCATCTACTAAAGTAGGATACAACACTAAAGAAAAGTGAGGTTTAAAATTGTCTTTTCTGGGTTTTTTTACGACTCACAGGCGTATGAAAAGTTATGCGACTTTCAAAAGTATTGGTCAAACCATTCGTCAATTTGTTGTCATATACGACATTGTAAATTTGTCGTATTTTTTGGTTCGTAATTTACTCACAATTCAATGTGAGTAGGTACTCACTTTATGCGATATCTCCTTGTATGTACATTACACTTCGGGACAGTATTGAATGATTCAGCAATTGGTTCCCAGCGTTTTTGAACAACTATAAACGTGGACGTACTGTTGAACTTACTGCTTAGATGTTGTGAATCAACCTTAAAATACCCGTTCAAAGCAATCATTTGATCGATTGCTGCCGGAGCCTAAAATCTCGACAGAGTACTTAGACATTGTTTAAACAAACAACAATTACCTAGGTACCTTTGAACTACAACGAAGGTACAATGACAGGCTATCATAAAACTGTGCGAATATGATCTCTATATCATATTCTCCTCCACTATGACTATATTTCATTGTAACAGTTTATCAACAACAGTATAAACAGAGTATTGGGAATACAATTTGAAGTCTTATCAGCATGATAACAACAGATAGTTCATAAACTTATGAATCGTGGTTTATACGTCTTGTGCATCACCACCTTTCATAATTATAATTTAGTACGACCATAGGCCAGCTTATACTAGGGTGTAAGGTTAGTGAGGGTAGGTATAAGATCTATTAGTACGATAATGTTATTGAAGTGTAGTGTTCAAGAATGAGTACAAACGGACGTTATTAAAGATTTTAAAAATTTACCCAATGATACACGATTGTGAATCTTAATAATCTTATTGACTATATCAATTATTTTATTTTATATTTTTGATTATCCAAGATACCTTTATCAATACACGACGAGGCAAGCCAAATTTTTCCAACAAATACGTTCCTAATACAATTATTATTATAAATATTTATTATCAATGCTAATACCTATTAGGTACCTTACCTATGTATCTGTTGTTTATATTATTCTCATCTCTTTTCATACCTATCTATGATTTAAATTTTGGTGGTTATGCCGGTTATGGTTTCTTCAATTAATATTTAATAATGATTTTTTATTCGAATAAAATATTTTGTTTAATATTTGATCAATTATTTATACACGAATATCGGAGGGTCTAGGACATCTCTCCCCGATACCGTTTCGAAGACGGAAATTTAAATGTCGTGTTATTGTTTTAGCATTCAAACCTCTTTACAAACCACTGTGCAATTATATCGTTTAAATATGAAATAATTATTGTATTTTGTATAATTTGTTTAAATAATAGAGTGTGATAGAATATGATTTGACATCAGCAATTCGAAAAAAAAATTGGTCAAGTACTAGTCATACTGAGAATTTTTTTGAAATTAGCTCAAATTCGTCGTCTCTTAAAATGTTAAAACTAATTAATTATAAAGGTACACACTATGCGCGTATTCATTGTTCGTGGTTCGCGGTTTGCGATTCGTACAAATTCATCATTTTTGCAATAACACCTTACACACTATTCGTGGATATTCGTTATTCGTGATTCACTATTCGCGTTCTTTCTATTCGCGGAGATTCGTCAATATTCGTCAATAGAACACCCGCCAAAATATTATATTTTAGGTTACCTACAAGTTATAGTCTATACAGTTTACATAAACAATTGAGCACGTAAAGCTCGTGGTGAAATTAAGTGTTTATCGTAAAATGGCTTCAAATAGTGATGATGAAGTTGCGATTGCTAGTGCCATTTTTATAGTTATAAGTGCAGGACTTTAAAAGCAAAATAAAAACAAAAAGCGTAGATGGTGGACTACAACATTGTTCAAAAACCGAGAGAGGTGAGTTACTAAAAATTACTTTTTATAGAATTTATACGACTCCCTTCAGGGTTCAATATTAACATGAAATGTTTTTTTAATGTAGATATGGTGGTAATTCTTTATTGAACAACCTGATGATGGAAAATTCAGGAAAGTTTGAAAACTTTTGCCGAATGTCTCCCTCAGATTTTGAGTATTTGTTTAATTTGATTGGCCCAAACATAATAAAACAAGATACTCACCTGAGAAAATGTGTTTCTGCTAAGGATAGATTTGCTGTAACACTAAGGTTTTTTGCTAATGGTGATAGCTATCTATTTAAGATTTCACCACAACTGATATCAATAATTGTGGTCGATGTATGCAACGCTTTGAAAAATGGACTTTCGGATCAAGTAAAGGTATATTCAAATTTTAGAGTTTAATAAAAAATATTTTATCACTTAGGTTAGGTTATTAATAATATAACAAATAAAAAAAATATATCATAACTGTTAAATTAAAATAAAGAATAGAACATAAGAACAATCAAAAAAAATATTAAAGTTTATTACCCATTCTTGGTAAGATTAATAAATACTAGGTACTTCCTAAAAATATACGATAATGTAAAAAAAAAAGAACCTCAATTACTTGTTTAACATTTAGTAACTTGAGATAGGGTTTATAGAGTTGTAAAAGTGGTAGGATTTGAAATATTTTCATTAGGTGGATAAGAAGAGTGAGAATTAACTTGTGATAAATGTTCAATTGTAGGAGTGGCAGAATTTGAAGGGAACTGAAATTTGTTGTTTGTATAATGAAAAAGAAGAATTAGGATAGACTAAAGTTGAATTTTCAGAAGTTGAAGAATGAGCAGAGTGGGAAGAAAGCGGGAGTGTATTTAGTATATTTATTGTGTGTCTAAAAATTTTTTTTAAAGTTCATTCTATATACGTATTCTAGTGGTTGTATTTCTTTCCATTCTTCGGGAGAAAATGTAAATACAATTTTTTTTTTTGGTAAATTTTCTTCATCACTTGTAGTAAAAGAAGTATCTAATAAGCAAATATAAATTAATATTATTATAACAATATGTACAGATGGATTGAATATAATATTTACTTAAAATAAATAGGTACGAACCGGACTCATAATTAGTAACATGAGGTTCCCATACCTCCGGAGTTTCTAAAGTAACATTTTTAACTACCAGCCCAAGTTTTTCTTTTATTTGATGTCGTCCTTTATAAACCAGAGTATAAATGGCCATTTTACTCATAGCATCATTTAAATAAGTACTTATATCAGACCAAACAATGTCTGAAGGTGCAGCAATTCCTTAAAATAAATGTAGGAAATAGTCTTAATTTAATAACATTTTCAAAATATTTTGACTCATGTTGAACTAATAATTATAGCCATATGACATTTTCGATAAAATAATTTTGGCTAGGTCAAAACACTTAAAAAATTAATACAAGGTTCCTGGTAAGTTTTTATTAATTTGTCATTTAAAAAAAAGTTTATCGTAAATCAATTTAACTTTAACTTCAAATTTTGACAAAATACGTAAAAATCGCGAAAATTTAATAACTATTTTGAGCTAGTAATTCATACAATTTTACTTTTTATATCTATGGTTTTAGAATAAAATACATACTAACAATTTTAAAATAAAAGATTTCTTAGAAGTTTGTATACTTTTATCAAAAAAAAAATATTCACCGGAAACTCAAATTAAACTGTTTAAGTGTTTGAAGTTCAATTTTTTACAACATTGGTTATTCTTTCGATTTCCTTATTTTGCTGTAATTCAAAAATTACATTAGATTCTTGAAATTTACACTGAATGTCTTTATCATTTACTATAAGATAAAACTTGTTTTGATCTGTTTTCAGCTAACAATTTTTTTAGTTTTTTAAATAGTTTTATCAAATATAGATTTTTTATTGATTTCTTCAAACAGAATTGTTATTCTGTATTATATCAACTATAGATTTTTTAAATTATGACCTTTTGATCAAATAGATTTTAATTCAATTTTAATTTTTTATAACGTACGAATTTTGAAATGTGTGAAACGTATGAAATATAGATCTATAATAATGATTTCATATTTAATTATAAGTTTTTTATTAATTTTTTATTGAACAGAATTTTTTTTAAGATTTCAATTCAATAAGATCGGTTTGATGAAAAATCAATAAAAAATAGATACAAACCATTTTTTTGTTAATTTTGTATGATATAAAGATTTGTTTGTTGATTTTTAACTAAACAGAATTTTTTTATGTTATAATTTAGTAAAAATTAAAAAAAAAATTGTTTTTAATATTTATAATAAATACAAATTTTTTCATACAAGATTTTAATTCAATTCCCATTTTTTTTATAAAGTACGAATTTGTATATCAAATATAAATCTTTTTTATTGATTTTTTTATCAAACATGATTTTTTATGATTGTAATTTAATTGTTTTTTAAAAAATGTTTGATTACAATTTTTTGATAAATACAAATTTTTTAAACTAGATTTTTTAAATTATGAATTTTGCACCATATAGATTTTACGTCCGTGAAGTTGGCCCACCCACTTTGGCTTAGCGGTTCAAAATCTTCACCAAAAGTTGAATAAAGTTATTTATACATAACCTATTTACGTGGAATCTTGTTTTAAATTTTCAATCCTTAGCCATTAAAGTTGAATATTTTAGAAATTTTTAACTACAAAATTATTATGAAATTTAAAACGTGATAAATTTTGTGAAACTTTCAACTTTAAATTCTTATCAGGTTAAAATGTTGACGTGAATCGCAAGTCGAAAATCGCATTATTTCGGTACGGGGTGGGGCTGGCGACATGTGCAAATTTCGGAAATGCGTATAACAGGCGAAATATTGATTTGCAAATTTCGACAACTACCTTGCAAATCGTTGCTAATTGGCTGCTAAATGATGGTTCAAGAAAAATTAAAAAATGTGTTTTCGTTGACATGGGTGGGGCTGGGGACATGTGTCTCCAGCCCCACCCTTAGTTTTTTTTATTTTATGATTCAACTAAAGGCTTGCAAATTGTGAAAACAGGCTTGCAAATTGTTGCTAATTGACTGCTAAATGTTGAGTAGAAAAAAATGTAAAACATTTTATTGGGTGGGGTTGGGGACATGTACGTGCCGTTGCCGACGGCGTTTTTCATCACTCAGAAATTCGTTGTATAATATTATGTCAATTTTTTTTGTTATTTTAAATGTCATACGATAGGTATATATATAAACATATAAATGTATACATTTAACAAACCTTGAAACAAACCTATTAATTAAAATTATTTCTCAAGAAGCCTGTCTCACCAAAAAAAAAATAGACATTAAGATTTTAATGTTCTTGATATAAAGGCTATTTATGAAAAAATGTAATTTTATACATGTTAAAAGTATATGTTAGTCAATTTATGGCACAACACGAATATTATAACACAAGTTTAAAAACTAATAGTAATTTAAATTTAATGGAAATTAATATACAATTTGGTAAAATAAACCCAATTAATCTTGGAATAACTCTATGTAGTTTCTATGTAGACAATTTAATATTGATTTGATAAAATGTAATAATAAGAAAATGCTTGTATTCTTGTAACATACATTATGAATTTAAACTTTGATAATGTGCTAATATAATGTAGATACCTATTGATGTAAAATATAAATTATTATTATTATCAAATATATTTTTTCTTAGTTATCACCTTTTTATATCTATATATATATATATTGTTCTTCTTTTAAATCATGTATAATGTAATAATTTCTTTTTGTTTTAACTTACTCACTTTAAATACTAACATTTTATTTGATGATAAATAAATAAATATTAGTACTATTATTGTTTCATAGCAAGTTTATATTTTTTGTATCTTAGAAGAACTTGCAAATATAGGTTGGTCTAGTCAATGTAGTGTAGATTCTAAATCTTATCAATAAGTTTAACAAATATTTACGAGGGAATTATTCAAAGTGATATTCAAAATACACATTTAACATTAAAGTTTTGAGTTTTAGCCCTACTTTCGGTAATGGTTCTAAAGTAGGATATTGCTTGTAACTATAGTGTCTAATTCAAGAATACACTGGTAAAAATTATAATCTGGAGTCATTAAAAATGAAAACAAAGATATAGAACTGTGTTGATGTGATTTGAAGTGTGTGAGAAAAAAAAATGCACAGATTTATATTGAAATCAGGTTTTGAGCGAGAACAAAGTTTTTTGTAATTTTTTTTGGTTTTATTATAAAATAGTATACATTGTTATGATAATATTATTATTTATTCAATGGTAGTTGATGTGCAGTAAGCTTTTTAAAAACAATTGGCGGGCTGTTCTCGAGCGGTTAGTTTCGATGATAAAAGCGTTCTTAACATCATGCCATACAACATCAACCAGTCCGCCACAACATTAGAAGAACGAAACAAAAGTAGAGCGTCGCTTCTATATTTATATATGTTCTTTGGTGAAAGTAATAACATTTTAACAAGACGTGTCGTAGTATACAACAACTGTAGACAGTGTTACCTTTAAAATAAAGACATTATAAGCTGTTGCAGTAGGCTATAGTTTTATCATCATTATCTAAGTTTCAGTTGGTGATTAGTAATTCATGGCTACGACAAAGAACAGTTTCATTCAAAACCGTCAATACGTCTGAAGGTTGAATAATTTGAGATCATTCGGCCATTACCGACCTACCCCTATAAACAACAAACTCGCCGCGCGTTTTTCTTTCTCCGGTTCTTTTTTTGCGAATCGTTTTTCAACGTCCGAGTGTATTGACTGGTCAATGATCGTTTTCTCCACCTTGTACTCGTTTACATTTTATAACTTTTGGCTTTGGTGTATGTCGTATTTCCGTCGTTCACTCGTTTGTAACATAAAGGTCGCCGTCCGACGATCTCGACACCGCGTGCTTAGTTTTTCATTTTTTTGGTTACCGGCTGTGGCGGAATTGCTTCGCACGGTTCACGTCGCACATCATTATTGTGTTCACAACGCTCAAATTGTCTCCCTGCTTTTATTTTTCACTGGGTATTCATCACAAGTAATTATTTGTTTGTTAATTTTGTTTATTAGTTCTGTTGATGATAATACAATGTTCTAGTGCTTGTAAACATTGTAAATATCTATTATAAAGCAATATGTTTAATGTATATTCTGTTTTTAATAGTAATCTTACTATTCAATCAGTTATTTTATACCTAACGAAAAAACTGCATTGTATTTGTTCTAGATACAATGTCTCTCTGTTTTATTTGCGATGAAACATTGCAGAATGAACGTACAAGGGTTTGTTCAAGCATTACGCCACATACTAATACACCGTATCCAGAAAAAATTGCTGGGATTTTAGGGGAAGAATTCGTGGTTATTGTAACCTACAAAGATCAGATGTGCATGAAATGTAGCTCGCTTTTGAAACATTTGGACAAGTGTGATAATGAAGCAAAACTTATCAAAAATGCGATGTCGTCATTTATACAAAAGCAATATGGAATGCTGCCTCTTGATCAGGATGTTAAAGGTGTCGAGGTAAAGATAGAACCTACTTAGAAACATAATATTAAGTTGTTATAAAAAATATCTTTATCCTTTACCTAGATTGTCAATGGAAAATTAGTGACAGAGGAACAACTAGAACAAGGTCAGCATAAAGTACCTAATGGTCTGATAGAAGGAGTTGCGTCTACTGTAACTACTGTTAATACATTAACTCCAGTAAGAATAAGAAAAACATATGCCTTTTTACTTTAAATGTAATTTAGTTGTAAACGCTTTCATTAATACGTCAACATTAAACAATTTTAATATTAAGTTGTTATAAAAAATTTCTTTATCCTTTACTTAGATTGTCAAAGGACACTTAGTGACGGGGAAACAACTAGAACAAGGTCAGCATAAAGTACCTAATGGTCTGACAGAAGGAGTTGCTTCTACTGTAACTACTGCTAATACATTAACTCCGGTAAGAATAAGAAAAACATATGCCTTTTTACTTTATATGTAATTTAGTTGTAAACGCTTTCATTAACACTTCAACATTTCACAATTTTAATATTAAGTTGTTATAAAAAAATATCTTTATCCTTTACTTAGATTGTCAATGGACACTTAGTGACAGAGGAACAACTAGAACAAGGTCAGAATAAAGAACCTAATGGTCTGACAGAAGAAGTTGCTTCTACTGTTACTACTGATGCCGTTGTCACTCCGATAACATCTCCATTAGTATTGTTAAAAACTCAGCAACAGCAGCAGCAGCAACAACAACCACAACAACAACAGAAAAGCAGTAACAAAATTACATCATACAAGTGCGCCTTTTGTGCATTCCAATCGAAAGTTATTGGACATGTTCGGTAAGTACATTATTTAATATTAGTTTACAGTTATTATTTAAACTTTCTATTTTAGATTCCATTTGCGCACTCATAAGATCAAAAAAAACCCCGAAAAACCTATTCTTCATCAACCAGCTGCTAATACATTAACTCCAGTAAGAATAAGAAAAACATATGTCTTTTTACTTTATATGTAATTTAGTTTTGTAAATGCTTTCATTAATTCTTCAACATTTCACAATTTTAATATTAAGTTGTTATAAAAAATTTCTTTATCCTTTACTTAGATTGTCAAAGGACACTTAGTGACAGGGAAACAACTAGAACAAGGTCATCATAAAGTACCTAATAGTCTGACAATAGGAGATGCTTCTACTGTAACTACTGCTATAATATTAACTCCGGTAAGAATAAGAAAAACATATGCCTTTTTACTTTATATGTAATTTAGTTGTAAACGCTTTCATTAATACTTCAACATTTCACAATTTTAATATTAAGTTGTTATAAAAAATTTCTTTATTCTTTACTTAGATTGTAAAAGGACACTTAGTGACGGGGAAACAACTAGAACAAGGTCAGCATAAAGTACCTAATGGTCTGACAGAAAGAGTTGCTTCTACTGTAACTACTGCTACAACATTAACTCCGGTAAGAATAAGAAAAACATATACCTTTTTACTTTATATGTAATTTAGTTGTAAACGCTTTCATTAATACTTCAACACTTCACAATTTTAAATAATATATATTAATGCTCAGTTAACATCATTCAACTTAAATTGTATCTTGTATCATTGAACCATGTTACTGTAAGCAAAGCTAGGCAATAACTAGTTAAATGTTAAAAGTTATCCAAAAAAGTAACTTTTAACTTAACTAGTTAAAATAAATAAATTAATAACTTAGTTGGTAACTAAGTTATTTCTTTTTTTATAATTGTACCTAAACTTAATTATTTTGCTAAAACTAAATTTATTTGTAAAAAGTTAATTATGAGTTTTCCTATTATGAACTGTACCTATATTTCTGAGAGAACTGCCAGGATGGAAGGATATCTACCGAGGGTTGTAGGTACATTATTGTCTATTACTATATTATAGATGTATACTAATATAGACATATATTATATAGTTTATGAGTAAGTTAAAGGTATTTAAATTAAAAAATAACTTAACTTAGTTATTATTTTCATGAAAATTGGTAACTTAACATAGTTACTCAAATTTGTTTGTTTGTTTTATTAAATTAACTTTAAATAGTTAAAAAAATTGGTTAACTTGCCCAGCTTTGAATACAAGAATAGTAACAATGACAAATGTGCACTATAAATATCTAATTTTGTTCCATAAGATCATATTTAAAAAATATAGATTATAGTAAATAGGTACTAATATTTTTATTTATTGCATGTTAATTATAAAAGAATATTATTAAATAATATATGCAACTCATTAACTATTATTATAAATGCATTTAATAATATGAGACTCAATTTTGATGTGATCTCTGAATTTGTATAAATGAAATCGTTCATTTATTCTAGATACTGCCAAAGAAGAAACTATTTTATAAATGTCAATTGTGTGCAGAAACATTTGATATTCGAGCTAATTGTATTGATCACATTATGAAAGAACATAAACATAAACATGTAACTACATCAACCTCAAATGGAGTAAATGACAAATTAAATGTTTTAACAAATCTTCATGTCTTATTTATTTTATTTTTTTTTAGGCAAGAGATACTGAAAGATATGGAGATGAGAAAGAAAAAAGAAAAACTGAAAATGCAGGAGATGGAGAAGAAACTGAAAACACTCAGGAAGATACAACTGCAAAAGAAGCCAAATTTGTAAAAAAAACCTGAACCTGCACGAGAAGATAAAGAAGATACAGCTACTTCCTATAGTGTTAATAAAGAAGTTATTGAAGACAATGTTAACTTTGAAAACTAAACGGATGTCTTAGACGTTGAATCATAACGCTAATCCTTCAACTAACAGTGGAGATACAGAACGCAATGCTTAAATGTGTACAACTTATTTATAATCAATTTTTTATCATAAGCTCCAGTTTCACAATTCAAAATGTACTCTTCTCTTCTGGTTTTTTTTTATTAACATAAATTAATAACTTTTAAGTGGTATAAATTGAGAGACAGTATTATTTATCATAATATTAGAAATCAAATCACTATTTTTTTTTGTATATAAATTATTAACCTAACCTTGACTGCCATGCGGCCGCCGGCGTCCGTATAAAAACAATTAAGTATTGATAATTTTTAGACCGCCGGCTACCGTAAATTAATTTGGATTTATATTATTGACTTTTCCGTGGCGCTACACTAGTGATCTAGAAAATGCGCTGTGGCGTAGCGGAAATAATTGCAATTTATTTATGTATAAAACATAATTTTAACATTTTTTTTTGTATTTTTAATCTTTTTTTCAAATTCAATAGTATAGATACAAATTTATAATAACACTGTAAAATGAACTTGGCGTACAAATAATAAATATTCTTGCGGCCGCATGGCAGTCAACGACCAACGTGTTAAGAAGATTAAGATATAGAGTATGACTATAATGTGAATAAAAATGTTTGATCCATTTTTCTTAATAATATACAATTTTTATTTTATGAGCTTAAACTATACTGTAACTAATGCTTAAAATCAAATTAAAATAGTACAATAATGTTGAAAAAAATTCCCTAACAAGTTAGTTCCTACTTACACAAAAGTAATTTATTGTATGATATTTGTGATCTTAAAAATGTATTTTAGCCATGAACCTATGTTATTAGTTAATATTTATATTCAATTTCCAATCATAATTATGTTAAAGGCAACTTACAGACATCTAAACATGCATACACTTTTGTTAAATCGATAATTATGACTACTTAATTTTAAAGGAAATCAATAAAAATTAAATAAAAATATATAAATTTAAATATTTAATAGTGGCTAGAATTGTAAATTTTTATTTTTCAGTTTTAAAAATAATTATTGATTTATTTTATGGTTATGACTTATGAGTATAAACATTTGAATTTATTTTATGAGAAAAGTTCAGAGCAATATTATTTTGCATGAATTTTAGTCATAGTTTTAATAAATTGTAGCTTTATCAATGAATGTGGTAAACAATTTAAAAAAATAATACACTGAATTAAACTTCAAAGTTCAGCAGTTTATTAACCATCATCCAGTGAACTGTATTTATCTAAATGCTTATTTTGTGCAATTGAAAAAAAAAGATCAAAATTTTAATAGGTAAATAATATTTAAAATGTTTAAACTTCAGAATTTAAGGATAAAATGGTGTTTAACTAGCAACATACCAGTAGTGGCACATGAGAAATGGTGTACAAATTCAAACTTTAAATGCTTATAACAATTAATGTGACTGTTTGATAAACAAAGAAAAACTTTTGAACTTAAAACAATTTACAAACTGTTGTGATTTTTGCATATTATGTCAATTATTATACCTCTAGTCTTAAAGTGGTTTAGAAAAAATATCTACTAACAGGAGAAAATAATCTTGGTAAAATCGTAAACAATCATCACAACACTCAGAATCTAAAAAAATATTTCCAAAAACCAGAATTTGTTGACAAAAATTTGTTTTGCAACGTTACAAACCAATTTAAAGAAAGACAAAATATATAATTAATTGATTCTAAATTTCTATATAAATTTTGAATCTATTCGAGTGTAAAAAAAATGGTACAACGTACCTAGTGATTATATTTGCTTAGCTTGTCACATCGCTCATGTCCATGAATTGTAAAGTTTTTCTGTCACACCATCTAAAAGAAAATTTTTTTTCAACAATTTCAGTTTGTGAACCTGATGACCCCAAAATCAAATGCGAGTATACTCACCTACATCAGATAAAAAAAAAAAAACTGTTTAATTTAAACATTTTTGATATTATTGTAATTTATTATGAAACCTACTTCACATAAAAATGTCATAACTAAATATGGTGTAAGGTTATCAACCAACAAAACCGGATAAGTTTTGAGACGAGTTGGCGTCAATGAAAAAACGAAAGTAGGAATTTTCACTTTAATATTTTGATAAAGCTATTTCTTTTTATTAATATTATTTTAAACTAGTATACTATTATTACTATTATTTTTACTAAATATTTTGATTTGGAAATATGTTTTATAGTTGAAAATTTATAAATTTTGTGTTTATTTAATAATTTAAAATGCATGAGCATAAATAACCAAAACCAAAACCTAACCAAAAAAACAAATGTCTAGCCACTGACGTTTAGCTAATCAATGTTTAAACTCAAAACAGTACAACTGACATTTAATTTGATAGGTATAGTATATAAAATAAATCAAACCAATTTAAAATTCCAACAATTTGTATGTTATCCATGCCCAGTAAAATAACATTTAAGTAATGATGAATACATTTAACACAGTCCTAATCGAGAAACATAAACAATATAAAAAATCAATTAACAGGCTTAATTAAAAACAGAAACTTGAATTTTATAGTAAAATTGTTAAAAAAAATAGTAGAAATCTAAAAAAGTTATGGCCAATTATAAAGGAAATAACTACCCAACCTCATTATTGTTCTCAAAATTATAAAATTTATATAAATAACTCAATACGCGATTCAAGCACCAATCTTTTTCTAGTAGCAAACACTTTGAACACGTATTTTACCAATATGGGAAAATAAAAGCCTGCAAATACTAACTCAGTTACTAATGAAAATACACCCTTAATTGAACCCAGCTATAACCAGTCATTATATTTATCTTAGAAAAATAACTTAAAAAGAAATTCTTGAAATTATGTCTAACATGAGAGGCGATTTATTCCCAGGTAAAGATGGAACTTCAATAAATATAATTAAAAAAATAAAGGAACATGTTGCCAATATTCTAGTACATATTTTTAACATCATTTTAGTTGAAAGCAGTATACCACAATACTTTAAATTAGTTAAAGTAAGCACTATACATAAAGGAGGTGATAGATCAGATATTTCGAGTTATAGACCAATATCTTTACTTCATGTTTTCTGAGAAAACTTTTCTCTAAAATATCTTAAAGAAAATACAGTTGTTCCACCATTGCAATAAGGGTTTAAAGAAAATATTGGGACAGAAGATACTCCAGCATAACTCTCTATAAATATAAATACAAATATTGAAGAAAATAAAAACAAACTCAAGTATCTTTATGTACCAAAGTAAAGGTTTTGTTAATACCTTTCATAATCAACTAATAAATATTTTCAAATCAATAGGCATAGTTAATAAAATACATCATTTAATATACCTATTTAAATCATATTTACAACATAAAAACAACAAATAAAAATCGTAAATACTCTAAGCAATGAATTGCAAGTTGATAATGGTGTTCCACAAGGCACTGTACTATCTCCCATTCTGTGTATTATGTATGTAACTGCTAGGAAACTTAAAATTACATGATAAATTATTTTTTTATGCTTACGATACAGCTTTAATTACATCTGATATTAACTGGCAAAACATACTCAAAATGTAGAGTCAGACATGTAAAAAATAAATGAATGATTTTCAATGTTTAAAAACTATTCCTACATAATTCAACATACTAAGTTTTCAAATTAAATCTAACTAACATAAAATTGAAAACACACAATACACATCAAGAAAAAAGTATAATCATTCAAACATATAATAGTATAAGCATTTAAGAGCAAGCAGACACTGTTAAAGTAGGACTCGACTTACTAAATAATATGCCACAATTTATAATGAACTGCAAAAATTACAATAAATATAAACATCTTCTTAAGAGGACGTGATACCCGCATGTGTTGTCTCCGTCTTACAAGTGCGTAACATAGCAAATTTTACGCTCAGCAGAACACGTGTAGCACTGTAGCTCCGTTAGTTTAAAAATTAGTGCGAATTGACCTCTTATAAAATCTAAAGGTACGATTATTATCTAGGCAGCCTCATAGGTTTTTTATTATATTTTAATTTTAACGCGAGTTATGAGTATTTTAAAATTGTAAATTTTTTATACATTGAAAATACTTATAGCTCGCGTTAAAATTAAAATATAATAAATAACCTATGAGATTGACTAGATAATAATCTTACCTTTAGATTTTATAAGAGGTCAATTCGCACTAATTTTTAAACTAACGGAGCTACACGTGTTCTGCTGAGCGTAAAATTTGCTATGGTACACACTTGTAAGACGGAGACAACACATGCGGGTATCACGTCCTCTTAATATATATTTGATGAGACATACCTACTATAAATGATCCCTCTATCATTTTCTATATTTTATTTTATTTTGCTTACCTATTTTGTTTATTTGTTTGTATTCTCTCTTCTCCATTATTTGTACTACTATTCATTGTATACCACCATACCAAATAATACATCAAAAGATAGGCAGATAGTAACTTATGATTTTTGTAAACGTATAGGTAAAAATTATTGTTTTATGAAATATTCATATTTTAAAATTGTGAAAATTTAATCAGTTTTCATAAGTTAGAACTCGCAAAAATAACCATGACAATATTGCTTTCGTATATAAGTATATTATAAGCGTTCACATACCGAACACAGACTAAAACTAAACGATCGTCATCGTTTAATAATTATTGTAGTTAAGCAATTCAATAGAAATTGTTGGTGACCGATCGAGAACGGAAATAAGATAAGATAAGATTATCCACAAAATATGAATTTTCTAGATATATTGCAAATCGCGATAATACAGTTCTGTGTACCATGTAAACTTGTATTTCATGACCGACTAATAAACAGAGAAAAACAGTCAACAGCTAATAATAAAAATATTTTATAATAATAGGAGTATAATAAATTTGACTTAATTTTCCAAGAAATTATTTCGGGGTAGGGGGGGACCCCCAACCCCCCCGTATACGTGCTTGCCATAATAAATAGTAATAAATTTTTAAGGCTTAGGGATTTTCTGTCAATTTGTATGTTGTTTTCCTTGAGTCCAAATTGATTTTTTGTCAGATGTGTCGACAATTTGGATTATTCTTGATTAAAAAGAACAATTTTTTTTTGCATATTCTGAAGATAATGTAAATAGTTGCATAATTCAATTTTTGAAAATCTTATGAATTTTAAATGGTATTTATTTAATGAACTTGTATTATTAGTGGGTTATTTCTACAATTGTCTTAAATTCACTATCTAATATTTTCTTAGACGGACCACATTGACTATGCATAAACTGTTTGATCACGGATTCAGCGTGATACTTTTTTGACCAAACCAATAACATTTTATTGACAATTGTAGAAAAAAAAATGAAAATTGAAAATGTTCGTCAACAGCTTAAAACGAGTTAAAATATCTTGAAAATTGTATCAAGTATATGAATATTGATGCAATAAACATTTGGTCTTCAGTAAGTCGTTTTTGAATTACAACAAAATAAGAAAATCGGTACAAGAGAAACCGAGTGAATATCCAATGTTGTAAAAATTTAAAAATTAATTTAAGTTTTTTAATTTAAAATTTCAAACGCTCATAAAAATTTTATTTGACATTTCCAGTAGCAATTTTTTTTTGATAAAACTAGATAAACTTGTAAGGAATCGTGTATTACATTTTAAAATCTTAGATATAAGTAGAAACATTTTTATGAATTTCTAACCAAATAAAAATTGCTAATTTTCGTGATTTTTACGAATTTTGTTAAAATTCTAAGTTTAAACGCTCATAAAAAATTATTGTGGATTTACCCTCAACTTTTTTTTTAATTTCCAGTAACAAAAACTTACAAGGAACCTTAAATTTTCAAGTTTTTTGACCTCCTGAAAATTTTTTTATCGAAAATTTCATATGCACATAAATAGTTCAACACAAATCAAAATATTTTGAACATTGTATGGTGTATAGAAAACGCTAACACAAATCATCAGTGAAAATTTCATGTATCTGCAGTCATTTTCGTTAAAATTACACTAAAGACCAAAATCGATTTCTTTGGAAACCTGTTTTGCGTAAAAATCCCAGTTTTTCCTTAATTTTTTGTTTGTTTTTCCTGTTGCTTTTGTAAACTATTGGGAAATTTCTACCTCCCATTGCACCAACTAGATTCACATTCCTTCCAGAAAAGTTGCTGCTAAGGAAATTCGAAGCACTTTTACTGCAAGAAACTGTGATGACAGACACACAAAAAAAAAATATATAAAAACACAAATCATTGTAAAATCAATACATTCATCGCTCCGCTCAAAATCTAAAAGTATTAGAAAAAACAACTAAAAAATAATTAATTTGCTTTCCGATGCAACGGACCAAAATCTCTGATAATACATATTCAGTAGAAGTTATAAAAAACAGACTGCTAGAAAATCCATGCAAAAATTAAGAAGTCTAGAGAACGAATCACTTACCTATACTTAATTAACTACGGTGTAACGTGTAAGTTTATCATCAATTAAAAATGGACAAATTTTACCCAATAACATAATGTCGTAAAGATTTTCTCACATATTGTTTACATTCTAACAAGTAATAAACCAAAATGGCAAATATATATAACAGATTAATAAATGCCGGCCCGATTGCCGAGGCGTAGGAATCTCGGCGGACCCGCCAATAAAACCATTTGTTCGAACGCGGACCGTTTTGCCGCCGGTTTTGAACTTTGCAACCTGGCCGTCGGCTGCGCGGTCGGCGTCGAAGAGTCTATAATATATATAGAACCGACGACGACTTCTCCTTCTCCAGCTCGCCGTTCGTCGGCCTACTTTGGCAGACCTTTGGCTGTCGCCGGGCCGTCGGTGACTCGGTGTTGATCCGAGGCCGGAGCGCTTGACGCGACGGAACGTTCCGCGACTTGCGCGTCGTCACGTTTTCGTTTTTGCCGTCGCCGTCGTCGTACACGACACCTGTCGCGTACTCGCGTCCCGTGTCGTCGCGACTGACCCGCTTTGGGCCGTCGTTGACGCCGCGCTCCGGTCGCCAGTGCGTGTTCGTTCAGTCGCGGTGACAGAATTCGCTGTCGCGCGTGCGGCTTACGGTCGTGCGCATCCTGTCGGCGCTGATGTGGACCGCGACTGTCTATCCGTGTCTCACCTCTAGACCGCTGCAGCCGCTTGTATTAATGTATTGTGTTGTGTTGATGGTACGTTTAAGAGTTGTTCTAAGCCATTTTATCAACAATTTATTATTCGATGAGCTACAGCTGGCGATTACACTCCACTAGTATTTTTTTTTATTAACAGAAAAAAGTACAGAAATACATAAAAATGCATTTTCCAATTTAATAAATAAAAAGTGAAATTATATTATATTTTATCAAAACCCTTACCTTTTTTTACACACAAAGATGTTTTACTGTGATTTATTGAATTTCGATCAAAATTTTTTGACTTAAAAAACTGAACATTTTAAATTATTATGTTTAAAAACTTTCGGTTTTTTCGTTATTTTATCTATACATTATTATTTATTTTACATTTTACATATATATATATCTATATATTTTATACCTATACCTAACTCATTTCAATTTGAACAAGTTAATCTATTTTTGGATTGCGTTGAGTAAAATTTTTAATGAGTTTTGAAATCTGACCGAGGTAAGGTAGACCTTGGTTGATTAACTAGGCTCTGTAGCAAAAAAACTACTCAAGCGACTCGACTTAGATAGTGATTTTCGCACTCAATCCGGGAACACCGAAATAAAAATATTATTTTGAATATAGGTACACCAGAAAATATTTCTGAATTTGTATCCAAACTTACTCTCTAAATTATCAATCCATTTATTTAGATCATTAACAACTGTGCTAGTTTAATTTTTTTCCCCGCCTACAGATAATTAATACCATCTATAAATAAATTAAGTCAGTGTTCTAATAAAAAAAGTGAATATTTACTGTACATATTTATGTACGTATTTACTGTTAATTAATAATAAATACAATAAAGATAAAAATTTTTAATTTACATAAATATTAAGAAAAAAAATTGTAATAATGTTTTATAATAAAATTAACTCGGTAAAAAAATGTGGTAAAACTGATGACCTTAGCTGTTGAAGTATTAGATCAATAAATCAAAAATGTAGATCTAAAAAATAATGGTTTAACAGTAGTTAGTTGCCCAATAATAAATGGGTACAATTAAGATACTGAAAAAAAAAATCATGTAGGTAGTTTAAATTATTAACTCTACATAATATTATGTCAGGCGTATGCAACATTTTATTACATAAATTGTAAAAAATAGAGACAGCAGGTCAATATAAGTATTATCTTTTGTTTGTTTACCAATATTTCATCTATGATACAGAAATTGTTTAATGTTTAAAAAATGTATATACTTGTTAATGAGGTTGTCTTTAATAATTTCACCAGTATCAACAAATGAAAATACCCATAACTCATCATCAAGAAGCTTATTTTTAGGCTTATATTTTTGTCTACAAAAACTAATTTACAAAATGTTTATTTAATAGATTGTATTAGTAGGTACATTGTTAATTAATACTCACCTATTATCTCCACATTTACATTTTAAACTGTTTGCATCACTAATAAGTTATAACATAAAATATTAATACAATATACCTAGGTACATTAAGTTTGTTAATCATTAATGAGTACCTAAGTCAAATTATTTAAGGTAAATTAAAATGTTTGGGTAATAGACATAAGCTTCTTGAACGCTTAAGTGTCATGTTTTTAAAAAGTTTATCAAGAAATAATGTTGCGGACCGAATAGTGTGCGACTTCCCATGACTACATTTTTATTATTATTAATAATATTGTCGACTTGGTCGTGCGTCTATTATCGAGATCGATTCGATTAAGTGGATACACTTACGTAATTTAAATATAATATGATATTATTTATATTAAAATCATAATAACACTGTTGTCTATGTATGTTTTCCGGCACATTGATATAAGAATATAGCCCTGCAGCTTATCGCTTTGAAGCTATTTAGTCAGACCAATTTCATAATTTCGAAAATATCCCTAAACATTGTTATTTGTTAAGTAGAACGGTGTTAATTACAGCACTCAATGCAGCTCAGATACGACGGGCAAAATATAAAATTTAATTCCGGTGTGGGAAAACGTAGCCAATACGTATTGGCTGTTGTAAGTACCATAGGCAGGAGCACATTTTAGAAATAAATATTCAATACAATTAAAATCTTTACATAAAAACTGTTTCTTGCTGCAAAGAATTCAGAAGGCTGCAGTCATATTCTACATAAGTATTGGGTTACACTTTGAAAACGATATTGTTCAATGTACATTTTGTTTTATTAGTAACCAGTGAGTATAAACATGTGATGAAAAAATTGAGCTGAAGTATTTGAAATCAACTTTTGAGTTGTAATTCATAGAGTTAATTTATGTGACTCAAATCAACTTTAGGATCTACCTATTAAAACTAATACCTTTTTGCTAGCTTACATTTGTTTAGGCATAAGTGAAAATGGAATTATTTCAACTCACCTTACAAATCCACATATTAATCCTAAGTATAGAAATGTTATTGGTATGATGATTGGAAAAAATTGAATCTTAATCTTCATATATATATTGTAAATTTTAACCCGTCAATGAATGATAAATATACAGTTAGGTATAAACGTTTTTAATGTAAGTAATATTATGTATATCTAGAATTCTAGACATATTTTTAGTGTAACTAAACTTAATTACTTATTATTAATTAAAAGTTAGTGAATCATCTGTTCAATGGTTAGTCCCATGTGATTTAGTATTAGGTGTATTTAAGTTAACATTTTCTTAGTATCTTTTTTCTTTTTCATTCCGTTTTACTTGTTGTCCTACTTGTAGAGAAAAGAATTTGCAATAAATTGGAAAGTTTGTATTTTGTAATACCTTTTGGTATGTGTTTAAGTATCTAATTTACTGTGAGTACTAAATAGAAAAAATGTGTAATAAATGTATGGCATTTAATTCAACTGTAACATTTTCTGTAGGTCCACAGATTTTTTATCCTTAAAGTGTTTGTTGACTCTTGTCAAAAACTGTACAAAACAGTTGAGATTAAATAGTTCAAACAATTTCTTATGAACACTTGTGACAAAATAATTACATAATATTATCAAAATCGTTAAAATCCTTAAGTTTATTATTGAAAAAAAAAATTTTTTTTTAATATTATATATGTCTGCAATAGTTTTGGTATAATAATAAATGTTAGTAAATTGAATGAAACTAATTGGCACAGATTGATGTGGATCCACATAATTTGATAATTTATTACATATTTGTATTGGTTAAGTACCTAGGATAGGGGATCTGATGCACAATACATTTTCAACGTCCATCTATTGCAGGGCATTGTACAGCATTCGTTGACAACCAGCGACAATGCCAATTGTCTCCTCCATAGACAGCTCGTTCTCATTAGCTGTAAGCAATAAATGCGCAGGTTAATATATCAATGTTAGAGAAGTCATAGGTCAAAACAAATGTATGCTGTACTAAGAAGGTATCAGGGCAGGTATTCATTATGCTACTAAATATTGTCCAGAGTGCACTCATAGTAGTATGATATCATATAACAAACGAGTCACCTGTTTGGGCTTCAAGTCCTCGTGACAAAGATAAAAGATTTCACCATGGTCGGAGAATTGTAAAAACTTTAAGTATTTAATAATGGAAAGCTAAGAACACACCTGGTACTTCATTGTACTTTCCTCTGCAAATGACTTGCAGCTCGTCTGCCAGCCTTGACCCACAATACTTATAGATGTTGTACCAGTATAGGTCGGGTTGAGGGATGTGCATGGCACGTGATAACCTGACCAGACAGCATACCAGCAAGACTATTCTGAAGTCCACCATTATTGAAATTCTGATAACAATCAATACAAATATTACACAAGATTAGAGAGGAATAGATAATTTTAACATGATATTTTCATTATGATCTTTGATTTATAGGTATTATGTGTACAGTTATTTTTAAATTTTTTTGCATCAAACATTGGAGGATTGAAATTAGAAATAACAATGGTTTAATATTGTTTTATGGTAACAAGTTTAAGCCCAGTTTAATAGTTTGTAAAGTCTGCATTAGTTAAATAAATATTTCACAGGGCGTATACGATTCATACAATTGGTACAAAAAAAAAAAAAAAATGGTTTCTACATTTTAAATTCAAATTAGCCATGCGTATAAATCGATTGTTGTAAAACAGATTATGAACTCAACGAACTAGTAAGACACGGATTTAACATTGAATGACCATCAGCAATATTGTAATACAAAAAAAATGTGTGTACATTTTAACCTACCATTCTATCTACATGTAGTAATGTAGGTCTTGTGAAGACTCAATTAAATATAAATAGGTATTTAATACAAATTTTAATGACAAAATACATCTTTTGTTCAAGCTAAATTTACAATCTGCACTCATACAATCGCATTGTGTACCAATCAAACAGTTTTAACCATACAGAAATTAATTTGGAATACTACGAAATTTAAACAATGTTATTATATTACCAGCGAAGAGCAGTTGTAACCAATGTTTACCCCATCTATTCTTTTTTTGTAAATTTGCATTTTTACCATGTCTTATGTCCAACCAATACTGATGTAATTGAATAATTTATTAACAAATCTCGATTTAGCACATTTATTCAGGTAGAATATAATGGAATCGAGTCGGAAGACATTTAATTGAACATCATAAATCATATAATCGATATTTAAACAAAACAAATTATTGAAATCATCTAATGGTATGAAAACTTTGAAGATTAATTTTGCTGACTGACTTCTTATTGTCAAACATTTAGCTATGGGGACATTTCATAGCCTTTGTAAAATTATATTGAGTTTCTCAGATTATGAATTATTAAAAAATTCAAAACATTGTTTAGTAGAATTATTTTAGTTTTTGTTTTTAGTTTATTGAATATTGTGTGTCTATTATACGGTACGTTCTAAAAAATATCAGATAACTAACAATTGAAATGTTGATGTAATTGTGACGACGGATAGTTACTATAATACCGATTAGGATCGTTTGAAATTAAAATTAAACAGCAAATAATGATTAAACTCTTAAATGGCCATTTGTGCTCTTTAAAAAGTTAACTACACTCAATTTAGTTGTTATGGGAATAGTGTACAACTTTTGTTGTATTAAATAATATTGTGAATTTCATTAGGTGCCACAAATTATGACAGTGATGTACAAATCAGTATTGGAAAAAATATATGATTATAATGCTAAGAACAAAATGTTTTGGTTTTGGTTTTTTTATGAATTTCTATACATAATGGCTTAGACGTTGCTTTCAATTTGAATATAGTGTAAGGCTTTGGCATTTATGAGTTTCGTCGACCAATGAAAAAATGATACATAAACAAAAAGTTACTATTTATTATATACAATCTATGTGTGAATATTACCAAAAATTCATGACTAAGGTCAATGGCTAAAATAATTAGCACTGCTTGTCGATTATCAAAATATTGATTGTTAAAATGAGTAAGCATGGATTTGTTAAGTTATTAATGAATGTAATTATAAAGTTACATAACAAAAACTTAATTTAATCATCAACATACTTAAAATAATTTTTATTCAATTCAAATATAGCATATGATTAAGATTAACAATGCATATACATAAAGGCAAGGCTTGGCAAGTTAACCATTTTGTTTAACTCATTAAGTTAAGTTAAATTAATCTTTAACGAATTAATTTTTTTATAACTTGGTTAAGTTAAAAATTAATGGATAAAAAAATTAACTAACTTCAAGTTAACTTAATTCATTGTTCAATATATTTATTTAAATGTGGCAATTTTGACTCTAGGTCTCTTGACTCAGTCATCATGACTCATGGAAATGTTAATCGAACTGCAGTACTGCACAACGCTCTCACACTAAATGAAGCAATGAGTACCTTAAAATAACGATACCCCAATTCAAATTATAAATCGGGGAGTATAAAAATTTGAAATCAGAGCACTGAAACAAAGATATTCATAAATTATCATTTCCCCGTGAATTATTTTAATAATTTCAAGTAATAACGTATTTCTCGGGATGTATGGCGTATGCGTTACAACGTCACTAGGTGTACTGAGGAATAATGCCGTATGGTTTACAAGAAAAATAATTTAGTACAGGAACGTCGCTACCCGTAGTACCTTTCTGTACAATTATGTGACTAAATATAAATTTATATTAATATTATGTAATAATAATATGTTTAATGTTCTTTTTCATTATATATTATGATAACGATATACATATATCTAATATGGGAATATGCCAATATCATATAACCAGTGGCGGCTCGTTAGGGGAGTCTTTGAGACGGCGACTCCCCGCAAAAATAAAAAGTAGGAACGCTATATAAAAGTTTGAAAAACATTGTATTATAATTTAATATTTTTGTGTTATATCCATTCTGAAAATAATTATTATGATTTTCGATATTAATATTGATAATATTTTGTATTCTATTTTTACATTAATAATGAGTGTCATTCAATAACAATGCAATACATAAAATATATCGATAACGGCGATAACAATACGGGCTAAATATATCGATAACGACGACGGTCGCTATAGTTCCAGAGTCTGCCGTCCGAAAGACTCAATTATGTATACAAATTTCATATGCATGACTAGGCGGAGGACGGGGATAGATTGTATAGATGTTATTCAGTACACTGAGACTAGACTCATTCAGAGTTTTTGCCGTTCGCATTGCGGTCGTCACGTATATTTTTCTGTAAACACGAAAACTGCAGCGTGTCGTCGTCGTGCGTCCGTATTAGACTATTAAATTTAGCTATTTGACATTGTATAGCAGCGTGTAGTAATTAAATTAAGTTTTTTTCATATTATTTGTATTCATTTTTTTTTTTTTTATTAAATTTTCAGTCTCCCCGATGAATTTACTTGCGAGCCGCCACTGCATATAACTCTAAGTATATAGTACATACTGTATGAATAATGTATATTGTATATACATCAATAATCACAAATTTATAACTATTAATTATTAAATTATTATTACATGAGGGTGAAAGTTACACAGATTATCTACAAAATTGAAAATACCTAATATGTATATATCAAACTCAATTGGTAATAATAATTATTTATTAATTATACATTTTCCCAATTATTTTCTATGATATCGAATATTAAAAATATAAATGTATATATATTATATACAGAGGTATTCAAACTATGTGTCGCTGGAGTTGTCGAAGGGAGCCGCGTAGTATAATTGAAAACCAATAAATATTTTTACGAAAAACGTTTGCTATTATGATTGAGGCATGTGCCTGTTGGGAAACGTTGAATTGTCTACAACAATAATTCGCTAAATATAGCTTTAATTTATATATATATATGTAATATGGTAAATAAATAATAAGTATAAATTATAAAATATAAATTACATTCAGGTAAACATTGATTCCTTTGTCATTTATAATTTTCGAGCCGTCGACATTTTGTGAAGACTTAAAGGAGCCGTGGGATGAAAAAGTTTGAATACCTCTGACTATATAATATATATTAATATCTATTATATACTTATTTCAAGCCAACAAAGGTATAAATCAATGGGTTGTATAAAATTATAAAATGTAACTTAACTTTAAGAAATCTGTATAAAATTAATTTGAAGTTAACACTTTTAATATGTTAAAAATCTAACTTATTAAGTTAAAATTAAGTTTCAAAAAAAAAGTAACGATTTACTTAACTTAGTTAGTATTAACTTCACGTTATAACTTAATTTTAATTTTTAATTCGTTAATGCCCAGCCTTGCATAAAGGTGTTTTAACTATACTTAGTGCAGAACTTCAACATTAAAGACAACACTCTAATGCTGTAATGTTTAATATACTAATTGTAGTAAATTTGAAATGTATCTACTTAACAATTGATTGAAACTAAATTTAACTAAAATATTCCTACGGGTGTACACTGTAAAATGATCCACACAACATCTATAATGTGCGCGCCCGAGAAAAACGGTCCCCTCGATGATGCTCAAGAACAGTGATTTTTACTTCGGCGCCTTAAGACTCAAAAATCAAACCCCTTACTAGCGCAGTGGATCGGCAACTTAATGTGCACGGTGATGACGGCAGGTGATGCATACGGGATTAGTTGTAAAAGATATGGCCATATGGAGTGTCTATGATCGAAGGTGCAATGACCACAGAGTTCACACAAAACAGGACGAATACTTAAATTAACTTAAACATTACTGACGTCGGGTGATGGTGGCCAGCGGGCAGGACTTGAAGATCTAGACGGCCTCTCTCACTCATTCAAGAGTGCTCGGGAACTAACGTGGGTAGGGTTGCCACCTTTGAAAGAAAGCAGCCCCGGAGATAGGCCGATAAGCAAAAAAAAAGGTCATCAGCTAGACGCTAGTATACACACCAGTACGTGGTAGTATAATCTAAAATCTATAGCTTAGTTGAAGTGAAATGATAAGTAATGAAATGCAATTATGCAAACAAAAAAATATTTATATAATCAGTAATCACATATTTTATCATTCAAAAATACAAATTATACTATAAAAATATAATTAAAAATCCCAAACAAGAAAAATTATTTAAATTTAAAATCATACTTAACATTATTTGTTGCACATTTTAATAATTGTTACCGGAAACTAATAAAAAAAAAGGCATAATAATAAAAACAAGTCTATTTAAGACTATAAATCGTAGGTTATCTTATCTTTATCTCCGACCCGGAGAAAAATTCTCTGAACCCGGAGCCCGTAGATTTATACGTAAACCCGGATTCTCCGGGTGAAACCCGGAGAGGTGGCAACCCTAAACGTGGGACGTGCAGAGCCTGAAGACCCGGACGGCCTCTCACACACCACATCGGGTGCTGGCGGACTTACGCGGGCTTGTGTATTTGAGACAATGACCCGAGTGCAGATCAACACTGCAACCAATATTTGACCTGCGAAGTCGATTGATCGGAGATGATATTTGTGAGTAAAATATACAAAAATATGATAATAGAACAATAACAATAATAATATTAACACACAAGGAACAACAGTATGAGATTGAAGAGGGAAGGGTGGACCGATAAGGCAGCAAGCCGTTGCGCTTATTACAGCTCATCGCAAGATTTACGGCGACAACACCTAATATACAATTGTACTCACTTGCTCACCTTTTTATTTTTAAATTTAAATTATTTTAGCTGTCTTAAATGTACATGTGCATAAGCAACAATGGTTTTTAGGGATATCTGTCTGGGGACGGGCTTATGATTGCCATTTAAAACTGTTTAAAACGACTGTAAATCCTACATAATAAAAAAATACTCAAAATAAACAGCATTTGCGTTTGGGGACAAATTATTTTATATTTTATTCAAATTAAAAATGGTGTATGATTTGTTATGAAATAATGAAAAAAATTCTTACTTACTGAAAAAAAGCAACGTTTTGGATTTACAGTTTAGTTATGACTAATAAATTGTACTACCAAATTGTTAGGATGATATTGTTTTTCAAATTATACAATAATTATAAAATATGTATGTATAAAATAGCAATAAATAACTGATAGAAAATATATTTAAATCTTTAAATATACAAAATGTTTTTTAATTGCTTGCCTGACATGAAATATACATTTAATCAAATGCATAATCATTTAATTAAAATGCCTGATTTGACTATATACCTATACGACATATACATTTTTAAGTTCTTGTGTTTCAATTTTAAATAATATTGCCATTCATATCTAGTGTGTAATTTATATGTTAATAGAATATATTAATATATAAACTTCTGTTAATATATTTATTAAATTATTATAAATCAAGCTATATTTGGTAAGCTCGTATTGTAGATCTTTAAACTTTGGTGGATTCGCAGAACATTATGAAGTTTTTGGATAATTCCTGAATTATTTTAACGTTATTTAGTGAACACATATGTCCTAATCAGTTCTTCATAAAGATTAACTAAAATGTCTGCACTGTTAAATTTAACAATTTTAAGATCCTTGGTAGAAATAGTTATAAAAAAAGCTAGTCAAAATCTGCATCTAACAGCAAAAAGCAACTAATCAAGTTTATTTCATAAAGGTTTAGCAACTTTTTCAATGTCTTCAACATATAGACAATAATGCTTTTTGCTTCTAGCAATTACTAGCAAAATCGTTGTAAACTTTAGTTGTTAGACAAGCATATATGATAGCTTTGAAATAATGAATTGACATTTGACGTGCGTTACTTCTTTTGGAACTAGTTACAAAAATGAAAAACATAAAAGATTTAATCAAGTACAATGTTTATGCAGTTATAATAAGCAAGCTATCTAGAAGTAGTTAACACCTAATTTTTTCAATTGTTGTTTTGCTCTATAAAAATTATTATATTTATACAACATACTAAATTCCATCTGTCTGAGTGAACTTATATAAATTATATAGTTATAGGAAGTATAGAAAATATTTTGCTTACTCAAATGTTGTTTATTATTGCAGTTTACTAATGGAGACACACTCGGTGTGATTTTTACATCATTGATTAATTATGAACCGTATATACTGTAAGTAGATGGATAAGTGGTATTTTGATTAGAGATAGTAATGACTGGAAAGTAATATTCAATGTTATCCTTTTTTGTATTCATCTAATAAATAACACGTAACTGGAAATATTAAAATGTACTGATTTTTAAATAAATAATGATAACTATACATACCCTGTTGATTTAGCTGCAGTGAGAGTATCATCATAGTGTCCCTAATTTTCAGGATCTAAACATACATATTTTCAATACAAACATCCGGGTCCCAACAGAGCTTTTACTCTTACCATGATGAGTTACCTATATTTTCCTTAGAACACTGTAGGTACTTTATAATTATTGTTAATAATAGTATCATCAAATAAAGCTAAAAATAATTAAATATGTACATTATTATATTATGTGTTAATTAAAAGAGCCTTTTATTTTTCTGATCACTATCATATGACAACTTATTTGTGATGTAAACGTCTACTACTATCAGTGATTTTTCTTTTTTCTTTTCTTGAAATCTATGCGAATAAATATGTATGAAGAAACAACACTATCCAATATGTTATTAGATTTACAAATATAAAGAAAAGTTGTTATTAAGCACCCAATATATATTTCAATTAATTTGGTAGCTATTTGAAGAATCGTACATAGATTTAAAGTAAATTATCTTTGAATAAATTTAAGTTAAGTATGAACTGGGTGGATCTGTTATGAAAAACTATAGTAAGTACTGTATAATAATATATCGAGATTGAGATTAAGATATATAAGTTTTTGTTTTTTACTTAGTTTACTTAAGTAACTATAATCAAGATTGAACAGTGACTAATTATTGAACATTAAGCTAATAATTAAGTAATTTTTTTGAACAGGAAATAATAACTAATTTTGAGTAATAGTAGCTCATTAACTTCATTATCCATAATTTTAAATTTAATTCATAGTTATTTTTAGTTAACACAAACCACTTTAAACACTTAAACAAGCTTCATTTCAGACATACTACATTAAAAAGTTAGTTTACTTGGTTGTCCTGATGAATTGTTCTGTATGCTAATTACTTTTCTTTTCACTTATTTGGTATTTTGTTTTTGTTTTTATGTTCTATTCTATTACATATGACAAATATGAAGAATACGTAGATTGTCTTGCTAATGATCCCTAAATGTCGAAACGTACAACAATTAGAATTATGTAGATAAAATGTACAGGTTTTATGATTTTACAAAAAAAACTAGTTAACATGAACTCGGTAACTCACACACAAATGATAATAATTGATAACGAATGCACTGCCCCAAGCCCCCAACCACACCGCTCGCAACGTTGCCCACCTCCACGCACTTCGACGACTCATTCCTTTCCAGTCCTGTCTAATATCACAGAACAATATAATATAACAGATAATATACGTTATACCTATACCTATTACTTTATTATCCTGGTCCGTGTCGATGCAGCAGTGGAGTGCACCTTTAAATTTGATTAAAGTTAACCACCCGACTTAAATAAAAGTTATTACCATCAAAATTGGTCTAAAAATTATATTTATAAATTGTATATATTCTGAATTTTTTAAAAATTAATTTAATACAAATTTAAACTTTCAGGATTCAAAAACAAAAGAGTTAAATTATTTCAACAAACATTTTTTATTATCATTTACTATCAGCTAAAACATTACCTTAAGATAGTAATATCGTCTTAGTCGGTGCGCGAAACAATGGGCGGCGATTTGACGACAAGATTATTTTTTTTTACAAAAGCATTGCTCCTTATTAAATTAGTTGAGATTGGGTCCGATACACACTGGGACCTCATAGCCAAGCCATAGGATGTTTTACGAGGTTTGTGAGCGATCATTGCCCATCCGATGACTCGTTGCTTATCGCCATAAATCAATATTAGGTATGTGTAGAATAAATAGATCAAAAAATTGGCTGTTTACATTTTTTCTAAACACAATTGAATAAAATCAAGATTATAATATTCATGAAATAATATTTTACCAAAATAATGCCACTTATTGAATGAAAGCTAGCAGTTTTCGTTTTGGTTGAGACCATGAGTGGCGCCGAATGTTCTTTATTAAATTTGATACAAATTCGAGTCTGATCAGCGCTTTCTAGAGCTACTCTTTCCAATCTACCCATTAAGCAGCGCTAGCTAGTGTGACGTGACTTTTTTCGTATGTTTACTATACATAATAACATGTATTGGTAAGTGTAACTACTAACCAGTGGCGATTAGTGATAGTTTGACATGGTAGTGAGCTAATTTTTTTTTTGAAGGGACTGTAGTCAGTGTTGCCAGTACTTTGAGAATGAATTTCCCACTTATAACCTTAAAACTTCCCAATTGTATTCAAAATTTCCCTGCGCCAAAACCAACCAACCAAAAAAAAAAAAGCATAAAATATAACATTAATTTGAACAGTGAACTGTACTACCAATTACCATACACTATACCACACTGTTTTGTTCTATGGTATTACTGTGAACTATTAAATGAAAAATAAAATAAAATGTCAACCCAATATTAACATATAATTTATTGGTTAAAAAAAATTCAATAAATAATATTTAATAATACTAGTATGAGGAATTATAATAATAACGTAATACGTAATATAATAATACTTTTGATATTACATTTAACAATTTATTGTTAACTAAGAAAAACAGAATATAATGTGAACAATGTTTACTTATAAAAATCACTAAATCAGCCTTGATTTAAATTTTCTTAAACTAAGGTAAAAACAATAACATGAGAAAGTAAAGTACAAATAAAAGTATAGAACTATTAATTATTTAAACTTTTTTTAACAAATCAGCCTTGATTTAAATTTTACTTAAACTAATATAAAAACAATAACATGAGAAAGTAAAGTAGGTACAAATAAAAGTATAGAACTATTAATTATTTAAATTTTTTTAACAAATGATAATTTAGAGCAGTCTTCATTTTTTTTCATACAAATTTTTATAGTTATGGAGTTCGAGGTGTTTGCTTACTACTTTATATGAGATGCAGTTTATATTTTTGTCTTGAAAAGAAGATCTTATCACAGCTACTGAATTCAAGGACTTATCTCCAATCCTATTTCTTTTTTTTGTTTTGACATCAGTCACTATTGAAAATACCCTTTCGGCCTCTGCATTGGAATGAGGCAATGCCAGTACCAGTTTTGCAAGTTTGCAAATGTTAAAAAATCTTGGGCTATTATCAACATATTCTTTTAGTAGAGATAATTCATGCCACATTTCCGCTATATTTAAAGATTTTAGGTGTTCTATTTCTTTTAAATTAAATGCACACGGAAGTTGGCGCCATTCCTCAATAACTTTATCTTCATTAATATATTTTCGAAACTTTGATATTAAAAAAGGAAAATTATTCATATCTGTTCGGTTTTCTAAATTCAGAGCTATATTAGGGTCAATGAGAGTTAGTTCATGAATAAGGGCATTATCGAGAGGCAATCTTTTCACAATTTCTTGAGCAGCAGTAATATAAAAGTTCAAACATTTTTCTTTAAAAAGAATTATTTGGTTTTCGGGTTGTAAATTTAATACATTTTGACATTCAGTCCCAACAAAAACTTCAAGTATTGGTAATTGATTTAATTTACTATTGAAATCAATTTTAAAAATATTGTCTGTTATTAGTTTTGGTTTGATAAAATTTTGAGTTATGGATTTAATTAAACTCAGCGATAAACTAAACAATTTATGTATTATAATTGAACGGCTCTGAAATAAACTGTTGAATTTGTTGAAGTAATCCAATACAAATTTTAAAAAATGAAAATAACATTTGGTAAATGGGTTTAGAAGTTCTGAATGAATGTTTTCTGCAGATTTCAATTTATCTTCAAATTTTGCAATTTGGAAATATTGAGTAAGACTTTCCCAACATTCCAGTAATCTTACAACGCATTGGTGCATAGCCAACCACCGGGTATCTGCTAACTTTAATATTTGCTTACGTTGTCCATCAAAGTAGTCTTGTATCTCATTTAATTGAGCGGATCTTTTAGCACTACCAGATACATATGATGCTATCGACCTAATCATATGCTCTGCTGATCTTGGTAACTGTGCGGTTGCCTTACTTGCTATTAATGCCGATGAATGGCATATACAGCGCATTGTTATCACATCAGGTGATGCTTTGGTGATATGTGTCATAAATGAATTGTGTTTACCAACCATAACACTAGCACCGTCACAAGCTACACCAATAATATTTTCCAAGGGTATATTTTTATCACCTAAACATTGCTTAAACTCACTAAAGATTGCTTGAGCAGAACAATCTTTAGCGTCTATGCTCACAAGTTCTAGTAGTTTGGTATGTACAGTACCTTCGATTGGATGAACAAATCGTACAAGTAAACATAAAAACTTATGACACGTTAAGTCAGTACTTTCATCGACTAAAACCGAGAAGGGGTTGTTTTTAAGTAAATCAACTAAATCAGACACTTCAACAGGTGCAATTATGTTATTAATGATACTAGTACATTTAGTACGGTGAAGTTCCATATCACTACATACCTTAGAATCTGGAAAAACTCCTTTCAGAAGTGGTGTAAGGTGGTCTATTAAATGGAAAGCAATGTTATGTTCAGCAAAAAAAGCTGATATTTTTATTTCAGCTAGTTTAGACTGGTTTTTGGTTTTAGTGACTTGACTGTTTTGAGGTGAACCACTGAATAGAGTATCTAATTTAAATGTACCTTTTAAGCTTTGGATGTTATGTTTGTGTTTTTTTCCTTTATTATGTTTCTCCAGTTCACTTTTACCACATGCCACAATAATATTGCATGCTTTGCATTTAGCTTTGGTTTGATCGTTTGGAACCTCAGCCAGCCAATTTTTAAATTTATCAATTGTCAACCATTCTTGTCGAAACAACTTCCTGTTTGTCCTTTTTTTTTCAGATTTTGATAGTTCATTTCTGATGGCACGAGTTTTTTTTGGCGTTGAAGGCCCTGACGTGTCTGAACACTCTGAACCACTCATGATTATCAAGGGGGCGATTCTACTAACGCGTGATCGACGTGACTAGTGAGTAGTGACTACGTCGATTACGCATTTACGCTGGAAACGACTAGAAAAGTTTTGAGCGTAATCGTTTATCGTTATCACTACGCTCAAATGCTCAATACAACCAACGTCCAACACGCGTTATCAAAATCGGCCCCCTGTAATAAATAGTAGTACCCAATCATGGATGATAATACCATTTTATGATGGAACTTGGATATTTGGTGATTTATTACTGATTAAGTTATCTGATAAGTGATAAAAGATTATTTTTTGTTTATTGTGACAAAACTGGATAAAAAAAATTACTATTTTACTAAAATCTGAAAGTTCCCTGTATTCCAAGTATACTGTTCTAACTTCCCCGCATTCCCTTTTTGCTATATTGTTGTAAAATTTCCCCGCACCGCGGGAATTTCCCTGCTACCTGGCAACACTGGCAGTGTTGCCAGTACATTCAAATCTATTTTCCCACTCAAAATCAAAAAAATTCCCTTTGGATATCAAAATTCCCGTCATCTATATTATTATCCTAATATATATATATATATATACATATTTATTACATTGTTAATGGTGATTGGTGGCCATTAACTGATTAACTGTATAGTGAAAAACTCGATAATTTTAGTTTATAATTGATTTAACATTTACAAATCTACAAATTATTTTTTATTTCAATTTTTAAATAAAAGTTACTTATTATTGATAAGATAATAAAGAAAATTAACGAATTATCTTTTAATTATTATATTATACAAATCAGACTTTGGTTTACATTTTTAAAATTTAAATTAGGAATATAAACCTTATATAATAATAATAACAAATTATAATTAAATAAAGATTTACAAATCAACGAATCAGACTTTGATTAACATTTAAAAAATTTAAATTAGGAAAATAAACCACATATTATTATAATATAATAATAATAATAAAGATAATTAATAACAATTAGAATTAAATAAAGATTTACAAATTAACAAATCAGACTTTGATTAACATTTAAAAAATTTAAATTAGGAAAATAAACCACATATTATTATAATATAATAATAATAATAAAGAAAATTAATAACAATTAGAATTAAATAAAGATTTACAAATTAACAAATCAGACTTTGATTAACATTTAAAAAATTTAAATTAGGAAAATAAACCACATATTATTATAATATAATAATAATAATAAAGAAAATTAATAACAATTAGAATTAAATAAAGATTTACAAATTAACAAATCAGACTTTGATTAACATTTAAAAAATTTAAATTAGGAAAATAAACCACATATTATTATAATATAATAATAATAATAAAGAAAATTAATAACAATTAGAATTAAATAAAGATTTACAAATTAACAAATCAGACTTTGATTAACATTTAAAAAATTTAAATTAGGAAAATAAACCACATATTATTATAATATAATAATAATAATAAAGAAAATTAATAACAATTAGAATTAAATAAAGATTTACAAATTAACAAATCAGACTTTGATTAACATTTAAAAAATTTAAATTAGGAAAATAAACCACATATTATTATAATATAATAATAATAATAAAGAAAATTAATAACAATTAGAATTAAATAAAGATTTACAAATTAACAAATCAGACTTTGATTAACATTTAAAAAATTTAAATTAGGAAAATAAACCACATATTATTATAATATAATAATAATAATAAAGAAAATTAATAACAATTAGAATTAAATAAAGATTTACAAATTAACAAATCAGACTTTGATTAACATTTAAAAAATTTAAATTAGGAAAATAAACCACATATTATTATAATATAATAATAATAATAAAGAAAATTAATAACAATTAGAATTAAATAAAGATTTACAAATTAACAAATCAGACTTTGATTAACATTTAAAAAATTTAAATTAGGAAAATAAACCACATATTATTATAATATAATAATAATAATAAAGAAAATTAATAACAATTAGAATTAAATAAAGATTTACAAATTAACAAATCAGACTTTGATTAACATTTAAAAAATTTAAATTAGGAAAATAAACCACATATTATTATAATATAATAATAATAATAAAGAAAATTAATAACAATTAGAATTAAATAAAGATTTACAAATTAACAAATCAGACTTTGATTAACATTTAAAAAATTTAAATTAGGAAAATAAACCACATATTATTATAATATAATAATAATAATAAAGAAAATTAATAACAATTAGAATTAAATAAAGATTTACAAATTAACAAATCAGACTTTGATTAACATTTAAAAAATTTAAATTAGGAAAATAAACCACATATTATTATAATATAATAATAATAATAAAGAAAATTAATAACAATTAGAATTAAATAAAGATTTACAAATTAACAAATCAGACTTTGATTAACATTTAAAAAATTTAAATTAGGAAAATAAACCACATATTATTATAATATAATAATAATAATAAAGAAAATTAATAACAATTAGAATTAAATAAAGATTTACAAATTAACAAATCAGACTTTGATTAACATTTAAAAAATTTAAATTAGGAAAATAAACCACATATTATTATAATATAATAATAATAATAAAGAAAATTAATAACAATTAGAATTAAATAAAGATTTACAAATTAACAAATCAGACTTTGATTAACATTTAAAAAATTTAAATTAGGAAAATAAACCACATATTATTATAATATAATAATAATAATAAAGAAAATTAATAACAATTAGAATTAAATAAAGATTTACAAATTAACAAATCAGACTTTGATTAACATTTAAAAAATTTAAATTAGGAAAATAAACCACATATTATTATAATATAATAATAATAATAAAGAAAATTAATAACAATTAGAATTAAATAAAGATTTACAAATTAACAAATCAGACTTTGATTAACATTTAAAAAATTTAAATTAGGAAAATAAACCACATATTATTATAATATAATAATAATAATAAAGAAAATTAATAACAATTAGAATTAAATAAAGATTTACAAATTAACAAATCAGACTTTGATTAACATTTAAAAAATTTAAATTAGGAAAATAAACCACATATTATTATAATATAATAATAATAATAAAGAAAATTAATAACAATTAGAATTAAATAAAGATTTACAAATTAACAAATCAGACTTTGATTAACATTTAAAAAATTTAAATTAGGAAAATAAACCACATATTATTATAATATAATAATAATAATAAAGAAAATTAATAACAATTAGAATTAAATAAAGATTTACAAATTAACAAATCAGACTTTGATTAACATTTAAAAAATTTAAATTAGGAAAATAAACCACATATTATTATAATATAATAATAATAATAAAGAAAATTAATAACAATTAGAATTAAATAAAGATTTACAAATTAACAAATCAGACTTTGATTAACATTTAAAAAATTTAAATTAGGAAAATAAACCACATATTATTATAATATAATAATAATAATAAAGAAAATTAATAACAATTAGAATTAAATAAAGATTTACAAATTAACAAATCAGACTTTGATTAACATTTAAAAAATTTAAATTAGGAAAATAAACCACATATTATTATAATATAATAATAATAATAAAGAAAATTAATAACAATTAGAATTAAATAAAGATTTACAAATTAACAAATCAGACTTTGATTAACATTTAAAAAATTTAAATTAGGAAAATAAACCACATATTATTATAATATAATAATAATAATAAAGAAAATTAATAACAATTAGAATTAAATAAAGATTTACAAATTAACAAATCAGACTTTGATTAACATTTAAAAAATTTAAATTAGGAAAATAAACCACATATTATTATAATATAATAATAATAATAAAGAAAATTAATAACAATTAGAATTAAATAAAGATTTACAAATTAACAAATCAGACTTTGATTAACATTTAAAAAATTTAAATTAGGAAAATAAACCACATATTATTATAATATAATAATAATAATAAAGAAAATTAATAACAATTAGAATTAAATAAAGATTTACAAATTAACAAATCAGACTTTGATTAACATTTAAAAAATTTAAATTAGGAAAATAAACCACATATTATTATAATATAATAATAATAATAAAGAAAATTAATAACAATTAGAATTAAATAAAGATTTACAAATTAACAAATCAGACTTTGATTAACATTTAAAAAATTTAAATTAGGAAAATAAACCACATATTATTATAATATAATAATAATAATAAAGAAAATTAATAACAATTAGAATTAAATAAAGATTTACAAATTAACAAATCAGACTTTGATTAACATTTAAAAAATTTAAATTAGGAAAATAAACCACATATTATTATAATATAATAATAATAATAAAGAAAATTAATAACAATTAGAATTAAATAAAGATTTACAAATTAACAAATCAGACTTTGATTAACATTTAAAAAATTTAAATTAGGAAAATAAACCACATATTATTATAATATAATAATAATAATAAAGAAAATTAATAACAATTAGAATTAAATAAAGATTTACAAATTAACAAATCAGACTTTGATTAACATTTAAAAAATTTAAATTAGGAAAATAAACCACATATTATTATAATATAATAATAATAATAAAGAAAATTAATAACAATTAGAATTAAATAAAGATTTACAAATTAACAAATCAGACTTTGATTAACATTTAAAAAATTTAAATTAGGAAAATAAACCACATATTATTATAATATAATAATAATAATAAAGAAAATTAATAACAATTAGAATTAAATAAAGATTTACAAATTAACAAATCAGACTTTGATTAACATTTAAAAAATTTAAATTAGGAAAATAAACCACATATTATTATAATATAATAATAATAATAAAGAAAATTAATAACAATTAGAATTAAATAAAGATTTACAAATTAACAAATCAGACTTTGATTAACATTTAAAAAATTTAAATTAGGAAAATAAACCAC